ATTATTATTTAAATTGTTTTTGTTATCATTCTTTCTACACGTTTTATGGATAATGATAGGATAGCTATCACATAAAATTATAACGAGATACGTTGACGGATGATTAAATTTTATTATACGAGTACATCATGAAACGACTATAAGAATATTATTAATACGTACAAATATTTTAATTGAATTAAAAATGAGGAAAGAAATGAATTTCGTTTAATATCCTGCACGTATAATATAAAATACCAAATAGCTATATGTATATATATATTGATTAATACGAGTGAGTTTAAAAATTGATTACATATAGTTATAATAACGTATATATATAGAAACATCACTTGTATAAACGATTACATTTTACATTTAAATTAAAATAGAAAATATGTGTGTGTGTGTGTGTGTGTGTGTCTTAAAACAAGTCGATATACATACATATATATATATCATGTATATTACCATTACGTTAAATTTGACTTGTTTCTCATAAATATCTTCAGGCGCGTTACAGCAGCAGACAACGGACGAAAATTATTTCAACAAATGGGTTCATTTCTGCAATTATGTATACAAGTACATACACTTATACATATTTAATATATTATTATACTTTATTAAAGTTTCTATATACTATGAATATACCTACACCTACATTCTATATCTATACGAGTATATGAGTTAAGATAGAAAAATAATTAAGTAAAGATGCTAAAACAGTCAAATTAATAGTTTGATTAAATTATAATCTAACTCGTTTAATTCAATCTTATTTTTTAACCTAAAAAACTTGTAAGAATAATAATAATAACAATATATATATATAATAACAGTAATAACAAATAATTAGGTTTATAATGAGTCAACGCTTCAAATTAAATTGGATTGAAAACGTTTGTTTTTGGTTGATTATGTGTGATATTCTACGCAGGTTCGTGAACACAAGTAACTTGTGACGCTCAACTACGTTTTGTATAAAAAGATCAAAAATAAAAATCCGTGTACAGCATAACCTAGTAAAAAACCAAAAATCTCCTTTTTTTTTAACTTAATTGAAATGGGCCAATCGTAAGTAGTTGAAAAGTTATCTTTCTTTTGGGTATTTTTTTACTTCCAATTATACACAATTTCCATCCAATTAAATGTAAAAAATGTTTAGAGCATCTAAGCTATTAAATAATAAATGAGGCATAGTATAACCGGTTCATTATTCCCCGATTCACTCAGATTTAAAAATACTGGATGGGCTTTATTCTTGTCGATCGGAAATGGCTCGTTCTAGAAATTTTTATCGTATAATTGATTATTATATTTTTATAAAACCATGTATCTTAATATTATACGTTTGCATGTGGCGCTTAAATTTTTTTAAAATATTATGAGGTATTTGTACAAAAAAGTCGAAACACTCAAAATGAAAATACACTTTTAAATATTTGTATCAACTAACGTTACTCAAATAATATCAGGTGTTAAGTATACACAAAATCGACGGTTGATAAGGGTCACCCTTCTCGGCATTCGATCAAGATTTGTAGGTAAATCCATGCACAGCAAAGTGAGGTTGTCACGTTTGTGGCGAGGAAACGGATAAAACGAGTGCTACCAGTGTACTCACGACTGTTAAGGATTTAATATTCGGCTCGAACAGTGCTCGATATCATAAAACGTTATCGGTAGAGTGTTGTAAAAGTTAATAGAACAAAAAAAAAGATACCTATATCTAATAAAAAAATATGTACATATAGTAAAAAAAATTTGGTTATATATATAAACAGAGTACTGCAAAAGTTTTTTTTTTTTTACTCTCTAGAAGAATCGATCAACTCTCTACGAGCAGTTTGAGGTGCGAAGATAGGGATTCTTCCCACGAATACTTATAACTGCGCACGCAATGTAATAATACAATAATAACAAACGTATTGAAATTGAAAAAAACCTATACTACGCGATTGGCGACGTTGAAGTTTCACAGAGACCGTCGATAGCGTTTCGATCGGACGCGATGGAACGTTCTTTACGTTTTTCCATACGCACACAGAACGGCAAAAACCGGTTGTGCCCATCTCCGTCCGAATGCAAATACGGTTTACATATTATTATATAACATGTATACATATGTACGACGGCTCATCTTATCTCGCAGCGCTTGGCACAGTAACTACGTAGAGCGTATAAACGATGCATGATAATAAGATAAATTATTATTATTATTATTATTAATAATATTATAATGTATGCGCTCCCGGACAGATAATTGAATCGAAATATGCATAATACGAATCCGAAACCATTACGAGACTTAACGAGATGTGTGTGTGCTCTTATACAATTATCAACTGGTAATAGTCACTACGTGGAGGAGAGCTCGTTAAAATAAAATATTATTATTATTACGTGTCTGTATAACGCGCATATTATAAATACAGCGAATGATGGACCTGAACGGATCCTTACCCGCGCATACACGTCTGTTGTACAAATATTACGTTTACATCGTTAGTGATCGTGAGCCGTTTACAATTATAACATTGTAGTGGCGTGAGCTCACGCTCGTGTGGTCGACGAATTTCCAATCGCATCACGTCCATCGGCATTACTACGTATTATAATATAATTATGTTGAATACTTTTATCGTGACAGGAATGCATTAGGTACGCGATGTATTATACTATTATATACTGCGCTCACATACGGCGATCGTTTTCCATCCTTGTAGCGTTTTATTAGCTGTGCATTTTCGAACGATCGGTAGCATAGGTACAATTAAAGTAAAAAAATTGGGAGGGAACTTCAATCACTCCCATTTATTTTTCAATCAGTTTCAATCAGTGTCTCTCGGAAAATTTTTTTTCACCCTTCACCCTCTACGAGTATAAAATAAATATGCCTATTGGAAGGCAAGTAAAACTTAAAAATAAAAATAAATGTCATTTTTCCAGTAGTAATCACATCTTTTTTTTTTACTTATCAATATAATAATATAGAGTTCTTCATAGTTTTTTGTTTTTTGGGAAGGGGACTGTATTATTATCATCTTTAAGGATTATTTTCTCTTTTTTTTTTTTATTTCTTTAATTTCGAATTATTTCCTAAAATATTCAAGTGAAAGCATACCGAATATGGTCAGAGATATTTCGCGTTTATTTTCGTGAAAAATCGTGTATCATATCACTCCCCAAAAAATAATCTTTATTTGCGGCCGCCTTCGTCGTAGAATTAAACGAAAAATATCGGTTTGGCAAATAAATAACATGCGATTAATATTTATTTTTGTTTGACAAGAAAACACTGGCTAATAGCATCAACGGGAAAAGGAGGAACGTGTCGGTGTGTTTTAATCCAATTTCTATCAACCAACACGTGACGTAGAAGTTAAAATCAAAAATAAGCTTTCGATTAAATTTGTTCGAACATACTCGTAATATAATTATACTAATAAGTTTTAGAATTGTTATTTGTGTACGTGTATACATATATATATATATATATATTATTTATTAAACTGATTTATGTTTATTCAGTATTTACATATATTCATGTATTTTATAAATGCATACAGTGGCAATTAAAACCATTGCAGACACAATACACCTTTGCCGTTTACAATAGTTGTTTTTTTCGCAGGTACAAGCAATTAAGAACGTAATAAAACATACAATCAACAATTATTTTGATAGATAAATGCGTTTTTATTCACATATTAATATACATGTATCACTTATACATGTACACATATATATAATATACACACATATACAGAGTATTTAAACATAAGATTATTAATATAACTTGTATCGTAAAAACAATAAGTAATTTCTGTTAAAATTAAAAAAATAAAATTATAATTTACGGGCCGAGTCCTAAACATCAATATTTTCGTTCGATTTAAAATGCATGTACATAATATTAAATTTACAAGCATTTTCACAGTAGTAATATCATTTTTTATTAATATAATACGAATATATAATATAGTAAAAAAAAAAAAATGACAAATTATTAATTGTACATTCCGTTGATAACAACAAAGAAAAACAAACGATGATTTTCCGTTAAAATTTTTAAAACAAACAAAAATGTAGTAGACTTAGGCTGTCGTTAATTAATTAGAAAATATATAACTCGAGTAGAGAGTAAATATATAATAAATGTACGTACAGCTCTGTTAAATCACAAATGAAATAGCCACCGAAGGAATAAAATACAATATTATTATTATAAAATATAATATTTTTTACAGATTACAGATTTATACTGAAAATACCTACGGAAGAAAGCTACACAAGAATAACAAAATAAATGCTCTAAAAATATATATTGATCACAACCATTACGAACTAATTATTCTTTGGCATTACTGTCTTATAGTTACACTATAAAATACTATTTTACAGTAATTAATTATTACAATCAGGGTTTGGCATGAACGACGGCATTATTGATAATTCAAATTAAATGTACTAATTACATGTCAAAAATAAAAAATACTAAGCTGCGAATATAAAATCAGTCAATTACAGGTACAGTAATTATTATTAATACATGTTCAAATATTAAAAAATAAAAGTATAATTTTTTTTTTAATAATATACGATTTAAGAGGTAATAAATACTATGCTATTCCATAATTTCAATGTACATTACAAGAATAGTTTTTTCGAAAAAAGATGTTTATACTTAAAAATAATCATAGTAATAATAATAAGTCACAGTGATCAGATTTCGTGAGATTACCGATTTTAAACTATGAAACCTTCACTAGTATCTTATAATCTTATACTATTACATATATTAAAAAATGAACTTCTAACATTTTTTATTTTTTGTGTATCTTATTACTTACAATTATAATTACTAAATCAAATAATAAGACAACTTTTCATTGCACAATAAGTTTTTTTTATTCAAATAATTTAAAGCACCTAGAAAATGCATTTTTTTCTATACTGACAATAATAATAATAATAAAAAAAAAAAATCACTAAATTATAAAATACTTTTACAAATTATTTAAATTCTAGCATTACAAATTAAACGTATCGTACATTTCAAGTGTAAAATATATGTTGACTGCGTGTTTAGAAATGTTATTTTGGTGAAATATTAAACTGTTGTTGATTTGTAGTAGACTAATTTTTTAAAGCATTTTATAGAAAATTGAATTTTTCTCGAGATGAATTTTACGTAAGTTATTAAAATCATAATTTAACAAGAACTAAAAACGAGAATAAATATTTTATGGGCCGCAATTGATATGGTATTCGAACTAATCACGCACAAAACTATATATTTTTAATTCAACTAAGATGATACGTTGGTACGCAATATACGATTACGGTGTTTTTATAACACTTACCCTAATCGTATTGCATAAAATCGTTCAAAAATAGAAAAGATGTAATATAAATCTGATGCCAAACGTATTATTGCATAAGAATATTGTTAATTTTAACCAATTTTAAATGGACGGAAAAACGTTTTACAAGAACAATAATAATTGTAGACATTATTAAAAAGGAACTGACACGCAAACACTCAAGTGCAACAACAATTCGAATAATAAAACAAGTCTTTTGATTACCATTATTCAACTACGAAATACATAATTTTCTATCGGCTATATGGTACTCGTCCAATATGCTATCTACCGTAATTTGATGATAGTTTAGTATGATATCTACCGTAGGTTAGTATGCTATATATGTATTATATATACTTTATCATTTTGCTATCATCATGATTAAGCTTTTACAAAACCCCAAATATATATTACTCGTATATTTAAACCTTAGTAGGTTAGGTAAGTTAGTAGATATAGTTTTATATTATACCTGTTTAGTGTGTGTTTGTGAATTGTATTGATTATATGTGTCTTTACTGTGATTTATTTATTATTATTTATTAATTATTATTATGAGTTTGTCAACTATGAGTTATTAATATCGAAATATATTTCAAAATAAAGATATGTGCGAAAAATGTTTAAGCAAACGAGGTTTATTACCAATCGATTAAACATGTACAAAAATTAAAAACTAAACAATTTGTGGTGGTGAGTTGAAAAAAGTTCTTGAAAAAAATCATTCCTCGGAGAGATCAGAAATACATATACATAACTACACGGTAATTAAAATATTTACGGTAAATAGCATACTAAACCATCAAACGTGCGGTAGATAGCATATTAGACGAGTACCGGCTATACTTGTTAATACGAACCCTCCGCAGAAATGCAATAGTTGTTTAAAACCATGATCAGTTATCGAAATCGGTAAACCTACGAGAAACAATAAATTTTCGGTACATTCGCGATATTTGTCACAAAACATACATCGAGTTATTACAAAAGTGTGTATGAACATCAGAATGTTTAACAATTATTAATCATCCATATCACTTGGAATTAAAACAAAATAAATATAAATAATTTGACGTGCACGTTGTTTCGTACATTTTAATCACGTAACAACACGGAGTGTACCTTTCTCTTTGGTTTAAATCGCAGTCGCGACGATAGCTCATCGCGATCATTAGTATTCTTTGATGTTGGCATGTTGGTTCCACGGCACGTCGGCCACGGCAGGCTGTAACCTATTGTGCGCGTGCGGCGCTCGCATTATCTCGTCCGTGGGCTGCACGTGGTTCCTGGGCCCGGACTCCGGTGTGTACGTGAACGTGAGCCCCGTCGCGTAGATGATACCATCGTTCCTAACCAGGGACACCGGCACCTGGGTCGGTTGCCTGACCCACAGCCAGTCGCCCCTGAATGACGATATGTCCGGTACCACGGCCAGCATACTCTCCTGGCAACGGTACATGGTCTCGGATTCGACGTCACCGAACCACACCTGCAGGTGGGGCGTGAAGTTCTCGCCGGTCAGCTCTAGCATTGCCACATCGCCGCCGCCGTTCAGGTTCAGGCTATGGACCACCGGCACGGGTGTGATCGGTGAGTTCACCGGGCCCATTCCCTCGTAGAACTGGTATTCGGCCTTGTCCGTGCTGATGATCGTCCAGCACGCGCCGTCGTTGATCATCTCCTTGTTTGGTTCTTTCGGGCAGGGCGTCGCTTGAAACTGGATGATCCGCTCCTGAGACAGGCACAGGTACATGTGCTCCGTGTCCTTCATGTAGAACGCGCACTTATGGAGCTGCGACACGGGATCATCGGCCTCCAGCAGGGCCATCTGCTTATCCACCTTCCTGATGACCAGCCGTGGCAAGGCCATACCGGTGACGCTGCACACCAACTTGACGGTGCTGCCGTAGTGTACGTAACCGTCCCTAACGTTGAACTCTTCACTCTCGCTCTCGTCGTCGTCCAACAAGTGAATGGTGAACGCGCCCCATTGCGTCGAGCTCGCGTGGAAGTTTCCCTTCTCCACGTGCAAGTACCGTGTGCTGACCGTCTGCGACCGCAGCCGATTGAACAGCGCCACTTTCGTTCCACTCGCGATGCACAGGTCGGCGTTTTTCAACGATTGCTTTTTCTTGGACGGCTTCGAGATAACTTTGATGCGTTTGCTGTGAAACGTGCCGATATCGTAACCGATGTTGTAAAACATCCTGACCATCAACATGAAATGTTTCCGCTTGTCCGAATCCGAGATGAACAACGTTTTGGCGGCACAATATTGTTTTCCGTTGTTTAGATCCAGGGGCTGTAGTTCTTGGTCCGTGCTTCCGATACCGATGAATGCACTCATCTGAGAATTCGTCTCGGACACTCCTTCTCTCAACAGCTGTTCTTGTCGAAGTCTCCAACCGTCACCGAACAAGTAAATGCAAGGAGGCGGACAAAAAAATCGTTTTTCATTACCGTACGACTTTTGAGCTACTTTAGCATGGAGGATCACCAACACCAAATCGTTGCGATCCCTCAGATACCTTTCCATCGCATCTCTAGTAAGCCGTTGTTCAGGCCGAAACTGCATAGGTGCTTCAGGACCATAATGGTGAGGCATCCTTGCTGGTACTCCGAGAAGTTCGGTGGAGTTATAGCAGCTTAAAGAACTTACCACTTCTCCATCTTCCGTATCCCCATCTTTCTCCGATTTAAGCGTCCAGGTTCCCATATATCTAAAATAAATCACATAATATGTAAATATAAGTAAGATTAAAATATAATAAAACATGTAATTGAATGACATAAGCACACCATTTTTTTTTATCATTTGAAATATTGTTAATGTGCATTTTAAGGATAGAGGGTTTCTTGAGAATACGTTTAATTTTAATTTAATTTAAATATTAAAGGTATTATATGATACAGTTTCCTTAAAGTATTTCCATAATTTGATAAATATAATAATATTTTTTACTTTTAATTACTTTTTATCATCATTTATGATACTGTAGGTATGAAAAAAGAAAAACGTAGAAAGAATACAATATTTAAATATTTTTGGAATTTAAAACGATTGAAATTATTTCAATACGTTACGTTACGTTACATTACGAACTTGAATTGTTTACATTTTGAATGCAAATTTAATTAAACCTCAAGGATAAATAACACAATGTACAAACAACATAAGGAATTAGAATACATAATTATAATCAGTCAATACTTATTAATTCAATTTATTACTTTTTTAAGTATGGAAATTTGAATGAACTTTTTAAATTAAACTTTGTTTCGAGTTTGAATTTTAAATTGAACTTAACTTAAGTTTCAGTAGTTCAATAACTATTTTTGTTAAGTATAATTCGAATTCCAAACCTAATTTTACAATTGAGTCGTCCAGTTGCAAAAGGTAGTATGTCCAAACAAATAAAGTTTTCACAAACAGCAAAAAACTGATATTTCCATTAATATTTTATAAAACGTCACCATTTTTTTTTCATAAATATATATATAAAAAAAAACATTTTACTTTTTTTAGACTATAGAAATCGTGGATAAGTAGTTTTTTAAATAATTTATATTTAAAATTGGACATATTCCCTTTTGCAACTAAAATACGGACATACTACCTTTTGCAACTGGACGACTCAATTAGTTAAATTTGTTATGCTATTCGAATAATCTAATCCATCACAACTTGAATTATAACCCACTAAATGAGTTAAATAAATCGATTTTATGGAATATATTGAATTACAAAAACAAATTTAAAGACAGTTTTAATAAAAAACAATTTGATTAATTTATAATATTTCTTCTTTAAATCAATTTTTGAATTGCTATGTTTTATATTTGTCTATATCAGAAGATTACAAACATTGATACTTTTTTAATACATTTTAGTCAGTTCGAAAGATAATATAAAATTTTTATAATTTCTGACTAGACTTTATCAATATGCATTTAAACAAAATAATTAATAATGTTTCTTGTGAATAATTTTAGTAATGATAAAACTTAATATTTAACTTTTAAAAAGCTTTAAATATTTAAATAATAAACAATAAAATTAATTAATGAATAGGCATCATCATTTGATTTATATTGCCTAGTAAATTAATTAGTTTTTTAATAATACATAATAACTTATACAATGATTTATTTAACTTGAATGGTACAATTTATTTATATATACAAACAATTAATTATAGTTAAGTGTTCTCTAAAATTTAAAATCAAATTAAACAATTTAATGTACAATATAAATAATAATGAAAATAGTTAAGATATAATTTATGAAAAATATTTACTGAAATTTAAAATAAAATTGAATATTGTACTCTATTATTTTTCAATTCAATTGATATTGTTTATTAGTGAGTTTATAATTAAAATGTAGATCACAATAACAAAATATACCAATGACGACAAAAAGCTGAGAAGTAACAAAAAATAATAATAATATTGCTAAAAGTGTATTATTTATAAATATTTTTTCAAGCGATCCCGAAAATGATACAAATGGTTCGTTGATAATTTTGGTTTTCGAACAGTACTCAATCGATAATTTTCTATTCACAACAGTAGTCCCCTTTACAAGGGATACGCGTATATATAAGAGTATATATATATATGGTACTGTATGGTAAGTGCAGCACATAATATATGCTCTGGGGTAGTGTATTCAATTAATAAATTAGACGCCCTACATCCACTTGAAGGGATAATCTCTTTTCAAGTGCACAAAAATTGACCCCTCATAACATAAATAACATATACATCATATTGCAGCATAGCACTGTATCCTATACGTTGTTGAGAGAAAAAACAAAACACAGTGTCCAAAGTTTTCTAAGGCTGTGAATATATTATAAGATGAAAACAAAAATTAAATATTAAAAATAAGATATAAAAATTATCACAATACGTATACCAGAACAAAAACGATGTTTTTTTTATTGTTCTACGTTTACTATATTTTTATCGGTAAACATATTCACATGAACTAGAATTTTTAACAGCTTTTTTCCCTTAGAAATAGAAAACGGTCCAAATAAATGACAATGAATAATTACACTGCTTTACGTTAAATATTATGTGCATGATATTACTGTATAATATTTAAAATTATTTTAATAAGTATTGAGTAATAATATGGAATTAAATATTACATACAATTATGTAATATAATGCAATTTTTAATTCTATAAATGGTTAATCACCTAAACTGTTTACTGTTAATATTAGCTAATTTAAAAACCTCTCATCTCCAACACAAGGTTTTGCTTATAAGAGATGAAAAATCTTATTGTGTCATATGTTACAGATAATTATGATTCGTTTGCAAAAAATATATTATTATTATGTAAAATTATGATTTGAAAATAAAAACATACTACTGTCATCAGATATATCAATTTATATAATTCGATTATATTTTCAAATTTTAAAATCATTATTTTTCGTTCATTAAAAATTTTAAATTACCATGCCCAGATTAATGTAAATATATAATATGGAGACGTTAACATTTGAAACTACCATCTATCAATCTTTATAGTAAAACTTAAATTTATGTAAATAAAATATAGGTGCATGATATTATACTGAAATTGCTTGTACATTTTAATTTTTTATGCGAATATAATTCATTGCGTATATCAATTTTTATGTAAACAATTAATTTAATATTTTAAACTTTTAAAGATGATTTTGATTTAAAGTTTTGAAAAATGTGTTGTATACTAATTAAGTCCCGAATACAAACGGGACATATACTAATTGAGTCCAGGGTTAGGAAACTAATAGTATACGAATAGAGTCCGAGGATTACTTTGGGTGAAATATAAAATCAACCATTCAGAGTCCAGACAGAGCGGACGCTATTCCGCGGGGCATTAAAATATATATTTTTGTCATAATTATGTCTTTTTAATATTAGCTTCATTTATATATTTATTGGCGAGGACCACTAATAGTTTTGAATCCTTTTATTCGAAAATTAATACTATGTTTTATTCAGCCCATGCAAACATCTACCAATTTATAAACATTTTGTTAAATGTACAATGTGAAACACTTATAAAAATTAGAAGTGTTCATTTTAATAATACAAGAAATGATATAAAAGAAAAATAATTTGATCGGAGATCAAATGCGACTGTTACGATCAAACACAATTACAATTACACAATTTTAATATGCACAGTGTTTATTCCATACATTTTTACCAATATCAAAAGTGTTATTTAATTATTACCTATCAGGCCCTATTATTTGTACAATTTCGGACTGCACACTTGAATTTACTGCTTTAAATGAAAATTTAGTCTCGCTACTGTCTTAGAAAAAGGAATATATTATATATTATATATATGCATTAAATTTTAAAAAATTCAATAACACTCATATTTCCTAGTAGTTAGCTTATTATTTAATTTTTGTTTTGTAGACCCTAGTGCGTACTTGTACATTCGTAATGCACATTGTATGTCGGGGTGCACATAAAAATAGGGCCTGTTACCTATATTTATTGAATTATATACAAATTATTCATATTATATTATACTCTTACGTCATTATATTATAAAATATTAAAAAAAAAAAAAACAATTTTAAACTATACCTGTAGAAGTTTTTGTTACAGTCTGTAAAAATGGGAAGGAATTTTTTTTTTATATTTGATGGGACTCAATTGGTAATATATCTTAAAACAACCCGGGACTCAATTCGTCATAAAAGGTTAAATTGGAACTCAGTTTGTATGCAGCCGAAAAATGTCAGTATACGTTGTTTTATAATTAATTAAATGTATATAAAATATCACATTATAGGTACCCAGATAAATTAAAAAAAAAAAAAATCGAAAAGTATATGAAAGTAACTTAAAGTTTCAAGCATTTGAGCCATAAAAGCAAAATTTTTTAAATCGTAAATTTCATTAAATATCGAGTACCTTTTTTAGGTTTTTCTAAATAATATTTTGGTTAAGAATGGATTTTCCGTAAACCAGTCACTTACGAAGAAAAATAAAACTGTTTATACTCAGTAAAATGTCTTATTTTAATCAATCAAATTACATTGAATTTGCGCTCAAACGATTGGGCCAAATTAATAACAAATATTCCAAATATTTGATTCAATGTTCATAAAACATAAACTTTCAGATGAATATATTAAATTTAACATATACATAAATAATTGTTGTTTACACATATTACATTTGAGTACCTATATAAAATACAAATTTTAAATCTATAAAAATACATTATATAGGTACATTTGAGTTATACACCATAAATATCATAAATACAATACTATTCTATTAGAGAATATTTCGTTAATTATTTGTATTCTATAATGTTGAAGTATTAAATAAAACCGTCCTGTATTTATAGTTAAATAATTAGAAGCTGAATAACGATGTATTATATCGTATTCCTGCAAAATAGAATTAGTTTTACTCATAAATATCTTTGGATGTTTATTTACAATTTTAATTTATATGTTTCGAATAATATTATTATCATACAAATAAAATATGACATACATTTAGTGATAGACCTTGTTCGTTTACATAACGTCAAATATGTCTAAATGGTTTATTAGTACATAATTTGTATTGAACGATTGAAAGTCATAAATTTTTATTAATTGTGTATCCATCAAATAAAATAATTAACTATGTACGTATTTAACAACATCTATAGTGTCAGCATCGTAATAATATTTAATTTACTACTATACTCATGCACAGTGTTATGTTCGATTTTAAAGTGGTGAAATCAATGTCATTGAATTTATAATAGAATAATATTTTGATAAATTGTAGAATCAGTATTTTACGATTAAATTCAATTAAAACTGATGAACCTTAGCACACGAAGTTTACGTGAAATAACTTTTAGGATTAGAGTCGAATTTGAAAAAAGAGTGTCGATTCGGTAATGTACACGCAAAGAACTTTGATATCGACCTTAAAAAAGTTATCGTGTATGAATCAAACTTCTGTTGTTATTTATCAGTGATAGATAATAATAAATGTACAGGTATTTTTTTTTTCTGAATTTATCGTTAATAGATAATAATAAATGTACAGGTACTTTTTTTTCTGAATTTGCGACCGAGATTTTGTACCTAAACGTGCGTCACGTACAATTATTGCTATGTGCACGTTTTACAGGGAGCACGTGCGTTTTCAAAGGCAAAACAAATAGGGGAAAGCGAAAGTTTTTTGATGAATACAAAAAAAAAAAATCTACCTGGAGTTCGGTCGCTGGTGTCCGGGATATAGGGGGATGGATGCGTCACGGGAATGGAACGCGAAGGTTTACGGCGGCAGCGACGATATCTGTTCGGTTAAAATCGAGAGCCGGCGGGACGACGACGACGAACGGTGGACGTTATCGACCGGCGACGTGTTTAGGGGCGGCGTTGGCGTCGGCGCGAGCACGTGAGCACACACCAGTCGAGTGCGCGGTGCGGACGGCGACTGACTGCGTGCGCGGCGGCGGTGGCGGTCGTTGCGCGAGGAACGAGACGACGACGGGGGAGAGAATGTTGTAGGGGAAAAAAAAAAACGATCGACCGACGGATCCGTCCCCCGAAGAATCGGCGGCGCGTGACGTGACGAGAACTGACGACCGCGTACGATCGACTGTGGAAAACAATAAACGATACGGCCGGCGCGGCGTGATCCGCGGCGCGCGCAAAAACCGCGCGCACGGTGATGATAGTGGTGCGCGTGCGTGCGCGCGACCGGGACGGAGGCGGCGGTGATGCGGGGGGAGACCGATTTCAAGGCGAACTCGCCGGTTCCCACGGTAAGTGTGCGTGTGTGTGCGCGCGCGCGCGAAGACTGTGGGAACTAGCCGCTACCGACCGACGACGACGATCTTTACTCCAATTGCCGCGCGGTCGACTACTAACTACCTACCGACGCCGTCCCGTCCTATCCGCTACACTATCTTATCCGCAACTTAGGGTTTTTAGCACCCCTGTTTTTTTTTTTTTTCTACCCGATCTATATGATCTATAATGATCACAGTTGAACGCCGTTTAATTTTTTTTTCAGCAATTTCAGTGGCCGCACGCTGCACGCGCATCGATCCCTCTCGTGTCGCGCGCGTATCGTCCCGGAGTGGTATAAATATCGTATCGCAAACGTAATACTCGTAACGTGCTCTTCCACTTCCGGCATAATATTTCAGCATATAACATTTGTAATCCGCTAATTCGTTGTCACGCTCAGTTACCCTACGAGCTCTGGTGATCATACATTTACTTTAGTAGTTGAACACGGATAATGTGCCCGTAACCGATTTTTCTAGACGTATTTTTACATTTTTTTTTTTCTCATATTCGCGATGAAAACGGTTTTAGAACGATTGTATCCGTCTCTGGCCTCCTTGAATCTTGAACTCGAACCCGATACGAGACCAGAAAAAGTGTACAAAATTTCGGTCCCATTTATGGAGATGATTTATTTATACGTATTATAATTGCGCTGTTCCGTGTTCATCGTCGTATCCGCTACAGCCGCAGCGCTATGATAATATTATGTATTTATGCTACGCGTAGGCACCCTGCGGACCGGAAAGGGCTACGAAGGAACTTCAATTTTTCCCATTAAACATTGCACGTGTTTTTTTTTCCCGAAACGTTCTCCTGCGCGTTCAATATAATAGCACTTATAATATGACATAGTTTTGCGTTGCAACATAAATATAAAATATAAGAATTCGATATGGGGTAGCGTAAAAAAGTAAATGTAGACCTTTATGAATCAATCCTCTCAGGCTGAAAAAATTCCAATTTATTGTACTCCACTTGTTTTAACGGAATAATAATGTTTACTAAACTTCATATTGCAAGATTAAAATAAACGTTTTACCCGCTTGATATACGTAAACTTCTTTTTTAACGTAAGCTAATAATATCGTTTTCCAATTAAACGTATGTAAAAATGTTGCACACGGTATAGTTAAAGAAGATTTTTGATCTTATTAATTAGTGAATGATAACATAAGAGCCAAGTTCACAAAAATAACTACTCGAATTTAACTACTCGAATCCCTAGTTGGAATTAATACATAAACGCTAAAAGATTGATTGAAAATATATTATATCAGAATCTGCAGTAGCAAAAATCGATAAACATTTTATTAAACATTTTTTCCACGCTATTATCGAATGGTGGAAGGAAATGTTTGATTTAAATGAAAATAAGAATTTTTAACAAGTTCTTTTTGTAGACTGAATAGTTTTAATTTTATCTAAGCATATACTACGGGTGGGATTTGAATGAGGTCACTCATTTTTAAAAAAGTTTCTGTTTTTGTTATAAGTATTATATTATACTTATATGTGTATATAAGTATAATACTATCTACTGAAACGACTATCACTACTGAAACCCTCGACATTAAAATCAAAATATTTCTAGGGCTTAACTTAGAACTTCAATAAAGCGTATAAAATTCAGGAATGAAGTTTACAAAATATTGGACTAAAGATATTAATCAATAATAATAATAATACGAATAACAATAATTTGTTACTTCCGTGCCCGCTGCGCACAATACAGATCCCATGTATTAGCAAACCCGGTCCAGCGATCAATTCGAGTCGTGACGGAAGGGGATGTCACTTCTTATTAATTAAATTATATTTTACCAAACTCTGTTAAATTTGTTCTTGTAGATCGTCGAAATTGGGACATTATCTTGTACATATATGTTGGAATCGCATTAGTTTTGTATATAAAATAACATTTAGAGAGAATGATTGAAAAAGACATATTTCATCCAGACCGATGACAATTATATAAAATACCCGTTGCGAAACCTCAAAACGCACAACGACACGTAACATTTGTTGTTTATCTGTATCTATCTAATCGTATATTAACATCTTATGCTTTAAAAAATGTATTACGTTCCCCATTGTACGCAGTAAACATTTTCAAAATAAGTCCATAAACATGCGGCTCAAATTGAAGATTAATAATAAATATTTTTATTATTTACATTTTTTTAAAAAATAATTGTGCATTGCACTATTATAGGTTTATGTTAACTGATATACCTATTGAAAGTAATTGCTTTGCAGTGCGTATAATGAGCTGCTATTTCCTAATTCGCAAGTTGCAAAACGACAATTGCGAAGTACAATAATTTTTCTATATATCTCATATACATACCGGACCACGAGTTAACTGATATTACCTGTACACTGACCTGTAACTGTACGATTTTTAAAGCCAGCACTACTACCAATACATGGTTTGAAATAACAAACGGCAATTGCCGTATATGACGGCTCGCTTCCGCGTTTTCATATTCAAAACAAAAACATATTAACATGTGTTGCAGGTGTATAATTTGTGTATTGTTGTTCGATCGTTATATTTATTACGTAAATAATAAGCGAGAACTACATATTACTGTATATTACCCATAAATATATAGGTAAGTAGATACTAATAATAAACATTTTAGCCACCTTTTTTGCGTTCTTGCGCATTTAAAGCAGTCTTTTGAAATACCAAATACAAAAAAAAAAATCACCGTTCTCTTTGACTCGTTTTTTCTATAACGCTTAACTTTAGATGTGAATTTAATTATATGATAGTTAAATGTGAGTCTAAATATAAGTTTTTTTAAGACAATATTCTAGCTCAGATACTCGCACATTGTCAGGTTAAGAGCTAAGCAGAGGAATTATATTGGTTTCGTCGATGATGATATTTTTCTATAAGCATTTGTTTGAGTTATAAAATCACATCAAAAGTTGAAAACAGCGTATTGTAAACAGACATAAGATGTGTTTTTCTATAGTCATATTTTCTCAGTATACTTTTCATATAAGCTCTTATCAGGCCAGGCTCAAATGTTTATGTAATCACACCTAGGCAAACTTAAGTTTTGCCACCCCTTATATGTAAATTCTACATAAAATATTTTTTTTTTGTATATTAACAATATTAAATTAGACTTAATTCTGAGTTCATTATATTTATTTATGTAAATTTAATAATTGATTATGTTAACACATTCGTAGGCAAGTAAATCACTACTAATTACACACTTACTAATTTAAATAAAACAAAACAATTAATAGTCTTATTTTTTACTACATATCATTTGATATAAATAGGTCATAGGAGGTGTAATCTTTTTTTTTAAATTATCTATAATATAAAAATGTTAAATACCACCTTAGGCATGGGCCTATCTCTTGTCACCTACCTCTTAAGCCGAACCTGTATGTTACAAAATAGTGTCAGAATTTTCTAAATAAGTCACATTTCACATTTATGATTATTTTGATAAAATAATTAACTTTATGTTTAGGTTATTGTACATAATACTTTAAAAACTTAGAACATTTTTCTGGATCAGATTTTTTTTTCATTAACATTTAAACTTTAAAATAGTATCATTCATTAGGCATGACTGATAAGTTTATACGAATATTAAGTGACCAATGAATTATAACATTAATATGGCCATTATATATTTTTATATTTAATTCAAATTCACAAGCTATTAATTTGCTGATCGTAAGACTTTGTACAATATTTGAACACCATCAAATTATATTTCATATTTTTTTGATTATCTTTGGTGTGTATTAAAAATTTATTGACTACTTAAGAACCTATTTAATTTTACACTTTAAGATTTTTAATTTAAATACAATATAAAATTCCTTTATTACGCGAAACGGTCGAATTAAAATCAATAATTCAATATGTATATTATTCTGACCTTTGCTCAGAATCGTATTTTGAATGCGATGATGTATCATTGTTTTAAATATATTCAAATAATTCGACCTAGTGTCCTAAACAATGTTTGAATTATATCATTCCCTTTATATCACGTATGCTGTACGTACAGTATTCTGTTTGAATAGCGAAGTAGTGATAAAAAACAACAATCCGATTTCAGTATTCCATTTTGTATTTAATACCATAGATTAAATATATTTATGTATATTTAATCTGATATGATATGATAATACTATATCCAAATGGGTTTCTTTTGAATTAAAACGTTCAATACCTGCTGGATTCAATGACAAATGATTCCGAATGTCGTGTACACTGATAAATAATATGAAAATACATAATTTTTCTAATAAAACAGCCAAATCCACATCTTAAGAATTTTCAACACCAAATCGAATTTATATCGTTTTTTTATTTCTATATAGAACATTTAAAATCACAACTCATGATTATTTATGGAGAACGATCGTGATTATGAAAATATGACGCTGTAAACACCGAATAAATGTGACATCCATCCGTATTATTTTTATTATTTTAAACTCAAGGCCGTGTCGTGCGAAAAATCGAAAATTTTCAATATATTATAGTACGTCTTGATCGGACTCTGAGGGTCATCATAATGGGGTGCAACGATCCCACAGGAAACCTCCGAAAACATGATATAAAATTTATACACACGTTACGAGGGTTCGGGCAAGTGTCCCGAAGGGTACGTACAATTGACATTTTTCCTGTACATACGATAGTAATTCACACTACCTAACATATTATAATACACCGGCACAATACCGATTCGACTCGTTCGAAATTACATATATCTAACCACATAATATTGTGTGTGTGGTTACCACGTTTGATAACCATAATA